AGAATATCAATACTGGAGACAAGAAGACATTAATCTACATTAATCTACAGGATTAACATGGCCAGGAGCTCTTAAAATTACTCAGATAAAAAAAGCTAAGAGAGTAACAGATTTCTATATTGTTCGGGAGAATAATTTACACTAAATATTTTTGTACAGTTTTTAGGCCTGGTTTACACTACCCCCTCAGGTCAGTGTAAGGCTGCTTATACCCAATCTAATGATGTCAATGTTTGCTCTACAGCCTTCTCCCATCAATGTAAGTACTCAGCTACACAGACATTATAAGTTCGCCTCCACAAAAGCCGTAGGTGTATTAAATGCAATGCTGTGTGTGTACATGGTGTTACCTACATAGGCTGTTAGCTGCCTTGGTAGTTTCACAGATTGCCATGAAATTGACATGAAAGTCAAACAGCTAGAGCCCAGCTGTTCTCGCTCCCTTGGAGAGCTGTTTCTGCTTGGGATTCAGGGCAAGAAGCCTGGGTGGCTGGACCCCACTCCAAGAAAGTAACAGGGAGGCAAGAGGTTCTGAGTGGCTTCCTCACTGTTTCTGTTAGAGAACTGGGTGCCAAAGGGCTGGGCAGACAGCTGGGCTCCCAGTAGGGAGCAGCCAGCAGAGCTGAGAGACTGGATTCGCCGCTCCCCACAGCTGCCCCTCTAATATGGGTGGAAGCGCTCCTGGTGACGACATACACCACTGACCCAATAAGGGTAGTGTGGTCATGCACCACCACAGTAATTACTGCAGTGAGTGTAAGTCAACCCAATATAGAGAATCATAGAAGATAACAGTTGGAAGAGACATCAGGAGATCATCTAGTCCAACCCTCATATAGGTCAAGTTTTTAGTCTAGACACCTGAACGTGGTGGAAAAACGATACTTTAAATATATGTATTGGGTATAATTTAAAATGTTTATCTTAAATATTGTTATGATGCATCCTTGAATACCTGAAACTATTCAAGAGTACAAAGTGAATATTACAAATCCAGAAAGACCGAACACACTGCTATGAAATATACTAAAGAAGAGATTTTGCCCGCGAGAGAGAGAGAGAGATTAAAATCAGTAGGAGCTGTGCATTTAAGCTGTATACTAGAGGGAGAAAGAATTTCCCTTTGAGAGAGCTACATATTTAGTTGTTCATGTCTACTCATGACAAACCCGAGTGAAGATCTTGGTGGGCATCAAATAATTCCTGGAATCTCTGCTCTGCCTTGAAAGCACGAATAGTCCAAAGTCCCTGGAGAGAAGATGATAAGTGGGAGAATACTGGACTTCGAGCTGGAAAGTAAATAAGACTAATTTATTGTAGCTGAAGGGCAGTGTTGATAATTCTTTGCACGATGCTAGTCTTTAATCCTACTTCTCTGCTTAATGACACAAGCTGCTGAATCACATCTTTTAGAATAAACATAGTATTTTCAGCCTACTTTCCCATAGCTCAAGCATATCTATTTGGATGGCAAGACAGATTAATCTAATTAATTCAAAAATTCTTTAACAGTAATCATCAGACATGACTTTTTTCTTTGTTTCTTTCACTAATCATATAATGCACCCATTTTTTATCCTGATGCTCAAGCCTCAGACTCTGCTATTTAATGACAGTCAATTCAAAACTTACATTATTATGTGCAAATAGACCTGTAAGGACAAAATCCAGAAAATTACTTAAATATGTCCTTAATTTTAAATATATGATTATATAATTGACTTCAATGAGTTTAATTAAACCTAAGGTTAAGCAAGTGTGGAAGGATTTTGCTGGTTTGGGACCCTAGAAAACAAGGAAGCAATTTTCAAAACAGATAAAAAAATTCTGATTATCTGCAGAATTTTAGCATCTCATGTAATTGTTTTTCAGACTGAAGGCTTGTCTACACAGTCAAGTTCCTGTGCTGAAACTTTCTTGCTCAGGGTTATGAAAAATTACATCCCCTGAGTGCAGTAACTTGCCAGTGTAGAGGGGATCCCCACGCTGAGAGTTATGTTCCTCAGGGAGGTGCATTTCCCAACGTGCTGGGAGAGCTCTCTCACAATTCTGGAGCTGTGACCACACTGTCACAGTAGTGCTTTAATGCTGCAAGTGTAAACAAAGCCTTAGAATCACATCTATCCAAGCAACGTACTTGTGGATTCCAGACGTTTAATGTCTCTTGCTGTGTCTAAGAAATACCGTCGAAGAAAAATGAAAAGAATACACAGTGGAACTAAAGGGATGAGCATCCAAGGGATCACTGCCACCGCCACAGCTACCACACCAAAAATCTGTAGGAGAGTCTGCAGCAGCACAGGTAAGAGAAAATATTAATTTCCTTATTCAGAAGATTCCGTTTACAACAAGCTCAAAACTAAAAGGTCAAATATTCAGACACAAAGATAATGTTCCAATTAAAAGGATAAACAACAACTTTCATATAACAACTAGGGCTGCAATTACTTTCATAATATAACAACAAGATTTAATGTTTTTCATATTTCAGATTGACCGATTGCAGAGTTTACTCTATATTTTCTTCATGATTTGTTCTGCCAGAGCCTAATGCGAGTTGTTGCAATCAACTTGAACCAACACAAGATGCTTGTTTTCATGGCACTGTTCCATTTGCTGTGACCCTGCAAAGAACTAACAGTGTATCTGATTTATGAAATGGACACCTTCAAAATAGATATTAGTTAATTGCTCTGCAGCCATGGAAAGAACCATATTGATGTATTTTTTAGTTCAGGTGAAAGGTTGGATTGAGCTTTGACAGAAACTCAGTTGTTCTTTGGATTACCTTGCCCAACATAAACTGGAGATCTGGCTCCCTGGGAGTGCATTCAACTTTCTTTCCATATGTAATTACTACTATAACAGGAAAGGTAACATCCAGACTACACGGCTCTGTCGACAGAGCCATGTAAAATAGTTTATTCGGCAAAGACAAAGAAGCGGGGATTTAAATAATCCCTGCTTCATTAAAATAAAAATGCCTGCCACACTGTGCTGACGATCAGCTGATCCGGCACAGTGCGGCAGTCTAGATGCGGCACGGTCGACAAAGGAAGCCTTTGTCGAGTGCTCTGGTAAACCTCGTTTATAAATTATGTACATGCACATGTGCACATGTACATGTACATGCACATGTACATGTACATGCAATATATACATTATTTATTTATAAATTATATACAAGGACTTCTGTACTAATGTATTATGTACATTATAAAACATACACAAAAAATAGAAATTAAAAAAGATGAGATAAAGATGAAATAAAACATTTTTAAAATATTAATTTTATTTTATTTAATAATGGTAAATAAAACCTTTTTGCTCTCACTTAAAAATATTCTTATTAATAATACTAATATTTTTTACTGAGAACAATGTGATTGAATATGCCTCATTATTTTTGAAAATCTTGGTTTAATACTTTGTGATACAGCGATTCAAAGGTCTGGTTCTAAGTTCAGTCTATTTCGATACTTGGTTTTAATGGTTGTCATAGCTGAAAAAGAAACCTCACAAAGATATGGAAGATGTGGAAGAAGTGCATTGTTGGCTGCGCTTATTAAATCATGATACTCATTTTTCAATCCCATCCACCAATAATGCAAAGGTTTTTGTTGAACTTCGGCTAGTAAATTTCCATCTTCCCTGATGTCAATCACCTAATCGGAAGGTGCTGCATTTTTATATTTTTAACAAATGGGTTCTAAACCCACTGAAACTCTTCATTTGGAAGATTTTTAAACAGGTTAGAAAATTCTGTTTCCAAGTTTTTTAAGTGTGCAGATATGAGAGTTTTTATAGGTGACACACTTACATCATTTTCAGCAAGAAAATAACATAACAATGGAAACCTTTCCAAACATCTGTTTTCAAAATGCTCTCTCCATAGCACAAGTTTCTTTCGAAAAGCAGTTACTTTCTCACTCATTGTTAAAATGTCACCTTTACCTTGAAGGGACAGATTAAGTGTTTATTTTTTTGAAAATATCTGGTAGGAAGCATACTACTGATAGCCATTTGTCATCACAGAAAAGGTCAGCAAATTTGGAACACTTGTCTTGTTGTAAAAGAAAAATGCGTAACTCATCTTTAAGTTCGACAACTCTTTTAAGCACTTTGCCACGAGATAACCAGCGAACCTCTGTGTGGTACAAAAGATTTTCATGGTCACTCCCCATCTCATTACAAAGTATTGTAAAGATTCTACTATTTAAATGTCTTGTTTTTATAAAATTAACCACATTGATGACATCCTGTAGCACTTTGTGCACTTCTGGCTCCAACTTCTTTGCTGCAATAGCTTGCCTATGAATGATGCAGTGAATGAATTTCACTTGTGGTGCTTTCTCTGTAAATTTGCCCCGGAATCCTTTTTTTACTCCAGTCAAAGCAGCCGCTCCATCAGTGGTTACACTTACACAGTTTTTCGATAGACCATTGATTTTATTAAAGAAGTCATTTACTGTTAAGACTATATCTTCTCCGGTACATCTTTCCTTTAGTGGCACACAAAAGAATAGTTCTTTGTGTATTTCATTATTGAAACAGAATCTAGCAAATACCATAAGCTGACACATTAGAAACATCTGTACTTTCATCCAACTGTATAGCAAACCTCCCACACTGCGTAATTTGTTCTAATACTTGTTTCTTCAAATCTTCAGCAATGTTTTCAATGCGTCTTCCAACAGTATTTGCTGACAAAGGAATGCATTTTAGTTTGTCACCATATTGTTTTCCGTGTATTATTTCAACCATTTTTACCACAGCAGGAAGAACAAGTGTTTCCCAAATAGTATGTGGCTTTTTGTCTTTCGCTATTAAGTAAGAAACCTCAAAAGAGGCTTCTAAACATTTATCATTAAGTTTAATGAAATTTTGTAAAGTACTGGATTTAATATCGCATGACTTTAAACAGTGCTGAAAAAATTGTAGAGGGTTGTCTTCATGTTCTGGATGCTTAGTTTTTAAGTGTCTTGCTAATCATGATGGCTTCATACTATCATTAGCTAAAATCACAAGGCACAATATACACTTAGGGCGAGGTTCATCATTAACGATAATGGATGTAAATCCTTATTTCAAATAGTCTTCTTGATAATTTCAAATTTTTTTGGCCAAGTTCTTGTCAGATCTGATTAGATCATCAGTGTTTTTACCTCGCAATGTGGCTGATGAAGATCTCATACTAGGAGTAGGAGAAGTGTCAGCTCTGCCATTTTTCTTGTTGTTCGCTTGTGCTCACATTATTAGTACTATCTTCAATCTGCAGTTTCTTTGCAGGAATCTTTTTAAGCCACTTGTCCATTTTGTGAGGGTTAGTTTAGTTAAAACTAGATAATATAATCCATAAATCCACTTAACCGGGCACATGTATACTGCAATACGTCGCAATACGCTGAAAGCAAATGAACAAGTGAGGGCGCCACTGTCAATCCTTCTGCGTTGTGGAACTCCCACTCCTCCCTCAGGATACCTCGCGTATCGTACGTGACATGTGACCATCTGACATACGGACCGAGGGTACCAGTGTCAATCCATATATTGACTATTAGTAACGCTTACTTTCTCTTATTTTTTTAGATAAAAAATAAATAGAAATAGAAATTCTAATATTTTTTTCCCACACCCCAATGGATCTTCTTGCACACCCCCTGGGGTGGAAGCACCCCACTTTGGAGACCACTGTACTAGATTACCACAACAATGCAGGAAGAGCTGTTGTCCAGAAAATTAAACTCCTTTTTCTCTCATTTCTCCCATTTTCAGAACTAGATAAAATAATCCAAATTAACCAAAAAAGAAAAAAAGTGATATAAAATTAATACCAAAAGACAACCATGCTTCCCAAAGCAAGAAACGTTGCATCCCTTTTCTGTCCCTGAAAAATGCCCTCTTCTTTCAATGTATTGGATGACCCAAACTTCAGCCATTATTTTTATGGACAACTTATCTGAAACCTATTTCCTTAGCCTTGGACAAACCGTAAATATCTGCACCCAGATATAGTAAGAAATCCAAAAAGGGGTTTTATTTCCCACACACCATACGTTAGAAGAGGTGTAAATGTTCAGAAAAGGCTTGATTAAAAAGAGTGTGATTTATATTTCCAAAGACTATAGCCATATTGTTGGTACTGTTAACATGTTGGAAGGACATCAAGAAACGTTGAAGAAAGAAATACCCAACAACAAAGTTAAATTGCAGGCAGTAAACTTTGTTTTCTTGACAATATTCTCAAACCAAAGTACCAGGGCAGATGTCTAACTACATGGGTTTGTGAAGAACAAGTCATGCCAAACTAATCTGATAGCTTTCTTTGATAGGATAACGAGCCTTGTGGATAAGGGAGAAGCGGTGGATGTCATATACCTAGACTTTAGTAAGGCATTTGATACGGTCTCGCATGATATTCTTATTGATAAACTAGGCAAATATAACTTAGATAGGGCCACGATAAGGTGGGTGCATAATTGGCTGGATAACCGTAGTCAGAGAGTTGTTGTTAACGGTTCTAAATCCTGCTGGAAAGGGATAACAAGTGGAGTTCCTCAAGGGTCTGTTTTGGGACCCGTACTGTTCAATATCTTCATCAATGATGTAGATATTGGGATAGAGAGTACTCTTATTAAGTTTGCAGATGATACCAAACTGGGTGGGGTTGCAACTTCTTTGGAGGATAGGGACATAATTCAAAATGACCTTAGCAAGTTAGAGAAATGGTCGGAGGTAAACAGGATGAGGTTTAATAAGGAGAAATGCAGAGTGCTCCACTTAGGAAGGAACAATCAGTTCCATACATACAAGATGGGAAGCGACTGTCTAGGAAGGAGCATGGCGGAAAGGGATCTAGGGGTCATAGTGGACCACAAGTTGAATATGAGTCAACAGTGTGATGCTGTTGCCAAAAAAGCAAATATGATTCTAGGTTGTATTAACAGGTGTGTTGTAAGCAAAACTCGTGAAGTCATTCTGCCGCTCTATTCTGCACTAGTTAGGCCTCAGCTGGAGTACTGTGTCCAGTTCTGGGCGCCACATTTCAAGAAAGATGTGGAGAAATTGGAAAGGGTACAGAGAAGAGCGACAAGAATGATTAAAGGTCTAGAGAAGCCTATGAAGCCAGGCTTCATGAACTGGGCTTGTTTAGTTTGGAAAAACGAAGATTAAGGGGGGACATGATAGTGGTTTTCAAATATCTAAAAGGGTGTCACAAGGAGGAAGGAGAAAATTTGTTTCTCTTGGTTTCTGAGGACAGGACAAGGAGTAATGGGCTTAAAGTGCA